GAAACCCTCGATTTCCAGCAATGCCTAACACAAGTGCTAATTGCTGTTCCGGAAGCCTTCCCTTAGTCCCTTCCATACACACACCTCCACAGGCAGATGAACCGATGCTCTGCCATGGGCCATCACACCACCCTGCTAGCCTATACCTCACTCTAACAGTTGTCTCATATCGTGAGACAGAGCTCCTTGTCCCCAGCACAGTCTTCACTGCACTCAACAAATGTTTGACACACTGGCATTTCTGGGGCTTTCTCCCATCTCACAGAGCACTTTCTATTGGTCACACTCATCTGAAAAGTTTGAATATAAATTTAACCATGCTATAAAATAAACCAGGTGACCCACAGGCCACCAGTGATACAGGACTGGCCTTTCCTTTCCTGGCTTCTCGGTATTTCAAAGAGCTGACGACTCCCCTGCACTAATACCACCTGACAAGGTTATCTAGAGATCTCCAGTTCATCAAGCTGAATTCCTTTCATCAATACAGCAACACCACGGGGTGGACAGGGCAGATGTCACCCCCATTTTACAGAGTGAAAAGTACTTTGGGAGAGGTTAAGCAACTTGCCCAAGTTCACAGGACTCGCAAAGCTGAGGCTGAGGCAAATCCAGGACCATAGACCTCTTAATAGTTCTGATTCCCCATGCTGGTTCGCTGAGAATATTTCCAGTGAAAATATTACTTAATTACTTTTAATTACTTAAAAATAATTATAGATTCAGACATATAGAGCCAAAGTATAAAGAAAAAAGACTGGAAAAACATACTCTAAAATACTGGAATGATTTTGTCTAGACAGAATTATGAATAATTTGCTTTTTTCTCTGTTTTTGTATGTGTGTGTTTTATACTGTATGCACTGAACCCACATATTTAAGAGAACTCATACATGTTATGAAAATGTATGGGTCATTGTAAAAACAGTATATAAGAGGGCCGGCTGAGTGGCTCAGTTGGTTAAGAGCTCGCTCAAGAGTTTGAGCTCTGAGCAACAGCGGTTCGAGTCAGCCCGAGCTGAGCAGCCGTGAGCTGCCAACAGGTGGCGGGATGGCTCAGCTAAAAAAAAAAAACAAAACAGTATATAAGGAACAAAAACAAACCTGAGAACCTCAAAGAAAAATAATAACTTCACTGGAAAACATTTTCTAAAATCTAAGTTTGACTCTAATACTAGATTCTCAATGAAACAACCTGAGCAAGCTATATATATGCCTTACAACAGAAATGATCAATAAGGTTTCATGTGACACATACACTTTTCTTTCTAGTCATCCATGTGTGAAACTTAATGATAAAAGTTTTCTTTCACTGAAGCTATAAAAACATTACCCTGTCTATAACATTTATTTATTCTATAGTCTGGAACAGAAATGACTAAATACGTTCCTTCCTGCCTTAGGTATTAGAACATAATATCTCCAAAAAGAAATCATTCTATGAAGAAAATCAGTTAAAGAGAGAAGGCAAGAAGTCAAAAGGTTTGATTAAAAGATTTTTAGGAAAATATCCCTAATATCGCTTATCTTTCCTGAGAAGAGAGGAAAAACATATGCCAAGATATTTTAGTGCACGACTTGACTAGGGATTTGTAGAATTAGGAAAAAACAAAACAAAACCTCATTAAATTTGCCTTCCCTTATACATCCTTTATACATCAAACCCGAATTCTGGATGATGTGCACATCCTGAACATCTGGCTCTTCAGGCCCTACAGTAAATCAAGGACTCGGCAATTTTAAGTGTAAAAAATGGGCAGAGTTAAAACTGGGATCTAATCCAAGCTATACTCAGACATATGTAAACAAATATCAAACGCTTAATTTAAGTTGGAAGTACATTAGACCTTCTACTTACATAAAACATTAGGGCCGCAAAATGAATGTCTGTCTGTCCGTCTGTCTGTCAACTCATCTGGATTCCTAAGAAGAGGTGGATGGGAATGCGTTTCCCCAGGGAAAGAGACGCAGAGAAGGTTCCCAATAGGGATTCTGTCACAGGACTACTTCCTCTTTTCTAAGATTTTGCAAAGAATACTTTTAAGATTTTGTTGCTGAACCACAATAACATAGACAATTAAAAAACAGACCCACCCACTGAGTTAGTGCGAGTGGAATCTATCTTTCTGAAAGTGCCAGATGGAGATTAAAAAAAAAAAAAAAGCTCTTTACTAATTGTGGCCAAGATTCCTTGGTACTTGGTGCCAGGGCCAGGATATTAACCCAGATGTCCTAGCCAAATTCAAGGTTGGTTAATTACAGCCTGCCAGCCTACCAAATGAAAAAAAAAAAAAAAGCCTTTTCTGTTTCCCAGATTGAAATCTGAAGAGGTCACTCTTACTTGAAATTCTTGTGTAGTACCATCAGTCAATATGTTTTCCCTTAAAAGTGCCTTGTAACTCAAATACTGATTTAAAGCATATGGATTCTTTGAGTTCCACCTACATGGGAAATACACTATGTATATTAAAAACGTGTAAGATACTAATTGTTTAAAGCCCCCCTAAACAATTATCTAAAAAAATTCACATCCAGGGTGATACTGCCACTGCTTTCCAATTAAGATGTAAGTAACAGACTTGCATAAAGGTTTATATTAAACACAAATTTTGAATCATGAAACTTTTAAAACTAAAAAGGAAGGCTCTGCTGCCAGAAGCACAATTCCAGGAAAAAGCTATATATGCAAACGTCAGTTACAAGGCCTCCCAGGGTTGAGCAAAGATCCTGCATACAAATAGGAAAGTATTCACTCAATAGCAAGTCTGAACATCAAGCACTGTTCTGGCCTGCCAGTCACTAAAGGGTCCATTGCCAACATATTCTGTGCATTGCTTAAAATAACATAAACTCGGGTTCAATTTCTAGCTCTGTATCCACTGGCGGTGTGGCCTTTTAGGTAAGTTAGTAAAATTCTGTGAGCCTCACTTCCCCACATCTTTAACTCTTTCTTCATCAAAATCACTAACATGACATAATTCTATGTCTTTCACTCTTTTTAAATATTTTAATAAATACATATTTTTAAGGACTACAACCTCCACAGCCTTAAATTATCTGCACCCTCCCATGCTTCCACCTCAGGGCTTTTGCACTTACTATTCCATCTCCCTAGTATGCCCTTGCTTCTGGGATCTACATTCCCTCACTTTCTCTAGATTTCTACTCAAAAGTCACATTCTGAGCAAGGTCTCCTCTTGCTACCCTATCTAAAATTTCCATCCCCCCAACTCTTGTCCCCAAAACTTCATATTCCCCCTTCCCTGATTTTTTTTCTTACCTTGTATCGCTCTAATAAATGTTATTAACATGGTTATTGTCTGCTTCCCTACTTGAATGGGAGTTCCAAGAGAATAAGGATTTCTATCTGTTTTATTCACTGCTGTATCATGAGCTCCCAGAATGGTACCTGGCACACAGTAGGTGCTCAAATAAATATTTGTTGAGTAATACCGAACCAGACCTAATTCCAGCTCACAGGCAGGTACACCATAGCCCCTCAAGCTGCCTTTAGGAAGAATATCACAGCACTTCAAAAATACTGTAAAGGAGAGCAATAGGTTTGCCATGAATAATGCTGTCCATTCTTTTATCATAGAAAAAGACACTCTACATCCCATCTCATTCGCACAAGAAGGGAGGGAAAAAGTTGATAATTTAGATCAAGTGGAAAGTTATATGAGCTGAAAAGTTTCACTTTAACACTATAGACAAGGTTTTCTTTTAATCTTAACAAATATTAAGCCATCTTCCTGTGATTTTACTACACTATCTTCTGTTTTTTTTCTTTACCTTTGACTTCTGTAAACCCAGTCTTGAAACGTATGGACCTTCTATTTTCAATTAACTAAATAATAAATATTTACTGAGCACACTGGACTGCAGAATCCTACAGAGGGTGCTAATAAAGTGAAACTATATATATATATATATATATATATATATATATATATCAAGGACCTTACACACACACACACACACAGAGCCCAGAAATATATCTGCAAATAATGAAGAATTCCAGGCAGCCAATATGTGATGAATTTAAGGGTGTCTATCTTTTATGGAGTATAAGAGGACCAATTCATCTCTTATACAACATTCATTAAGTTTAGAATCCTAACAGAGACAGCACTTAAAAAGCAAAGAGTCAAACATTACTAAGTTCACATGCATTTATGGGTTACATGGGATGCAACGGACTCAATGTTAGACACTGGGCTAAAAAAAAAAAAAAAGAATTAAATATAAATAAGGGCACCAAATTCTAAACTTCCAAAGAACAGAAACCAGATAGGCTTACGTTGTGCTTGGGCACAAGTAGGAGCTTAAGCAATTATTGAAAAAGTAGGGGAGGGTGTGATCTTTATTTTCGGGCTGAATACCCATGCAGGGTTCCACCCAGTTTCAGCTTTTTTACCCTTTGGAACCAGGCCTAGTGGGAAGCCGAAGACGTACTTTACCCCTTTCTCTGAACCTTCAAAACTCAGCACCAGCCCTTGGCCAAGCAATCACCCACTTCTTTGTTTTAATTAAGGCCACCCTTGCTGCTTGCTAGAGAGTCACTATGCCACCTTAATTATTAAGCACCTGAAGTCAATACCTGAGCTCAAATTCTGACATCAACACTTATTAGCTCTGTGACCCTGGGCAAGGTACTTAACCTTTCTATGCCTCCTCTGTAAAATGGGGATAATGAGAGCACCCTCATTTGGGTTAGTTGATTAATGAGATAAAACTCAGAAAAGACTTGCCCAGAGTCTGACCCTGGGAAGCCCTCAATAAAGGTTACGCGTTGTTATTTTCAGAAGAAAAAAATGCCCCAAGGCTGAGGAGCAACATACCTGAGGATTCTTGCAAAAGGTTATCATTAAAGCTCAAGTCAAACGCTCTTGGTCTCTGGACTGGTGGACACTATAAGTAACAGTAATAATAATACAACACTAACACCAACCAGAATCATAACCACACCAGCAGGAACAGCAACCGTTTACGATACTTACCCAGCTCTTTCGGGCCACGCACTGCAACTGACCTAAAACAGGAAGACAACAAGGTTGTTGAATCCAAAAAAAAAAAAAAACTGCAGAAATTTTTCCACCCTCTTTTTAAAATGTGGTAATCGCCGCCCAAGTTGTGCTAAAAACAGGTATCCGAAAGGACTGCAGATTTAACGTGTAATTTCTTCGTATACCAAAGAGGTGGGGCTGGCGAAGGGGGGGGGGGTGCTCGGTTCCTGCCAGATGGAAAAGCCACACGAAGTGGAGAAAACAGCCGAGTTCAGGGTTTATCCCCAAGTCAAAATCAGGTTTTTGAAGCACAGCACCTCCACCGTCGGGGAATCAGGAGGCTCTGCTTTTAAAATAACCTCTGAACAAGTGTCATCTGTCCTCCGAGCCAATCCCCTGCCGCGGCAGAAGGTTCGGGTTACCCGGGAGCGGTGTTATTTCAGAAATCCTTGTCACCTCTTATCATCCATCTTTTCCAAGAATCACAGTCCCAATTGTGTGTGTGTGTGTGAGGGGGGAGCAAAAGCCACCGCCAGCCAGGCCGGAGGCCGCCCGCCCGCCGGCGCCCGCCACAGAGGCCACGGCCAGCGTGCCCTCCATTCCGGCTCGCGGGCACCGCTGCCAGGGCCTGAGGAATGCGCAGGTGACCCGGCGGCAGCGCCCGGGGGGCAACAGGTCCGGGCCGGCCTCGGCCTCGCAGGGGTCCGGCCCGGCCCAGACCCCCCCAGGGCCGAGCGGAGCGGAGAGGGGCGCCGGGGAGAGAGCGGCGCAGGGCAAGGAGTCCAAGCTCCATCTTGAGGCGGGCGGAGGAAGGGGAAGGCCGGGCTCGGCGCTGACAGGGCCGGCCACTTTTCCGGCTCCGGGGGGAGCACCCCAGGGACCCCTGGCCTCCAGGGCCGTCCACCCCGGGCTCCCCGGGTCCCTTCGGGGGGCGGTCCGGCGCGCGGGACTCTGACCCCCTCACGGACGCCGGGCCCGGCCCCCGGCCCCGAGCTGGGCGGACGGGAGCGGGCCCGGCAGGGCGGGAAGGGGAGAGGTGACGAGGGACGGGGAAGGAAGAGGGCCCGCGCCGCGCCCCGCTCACCGCCGGCCGCCGCCTCGGTCGCCGCCAGTCGCCGCCACCTGCCTCACTGCAGCAGCAGCAGAAGCAGCAGCAGCAGCACTGCTGCCGCCTCCCGCCTCCCGGCTCGTCGGCTCGGGGCGGGGGAGAGCGTGACGCGCCGCCGCCGCCGCGGGGCCGGGCGGGCGCGCGCAGCCAGCAGAAGACGCCGCGGCGGCTCCTCCCCACGCGCTCCGCCCCCGGCCCAGCGCCCCGCGCCCTGCGCCCCGCGTACGGCGTCGGGTGCCCGCCGGGGCCGCAGCCCCCTGCAGCAGCGGCTTTGTCTGCACCCGACGCGGCCTGGGGGAGGCGAGACACGGTTCCCACCCCCACCCCACCCCCGCGCGCGCCCTGCCGTCCAGCCCTCAGATCCTCCTGAGGACCGGAGCGCGGAGGGGGTGTGAGGGAACCCCGAGGGGCCTGCCTGCACCGAGGGGCTCCCCGTCATTTCAGTTCCGCGTTTTCTAAGAGTGTGTCCGGAATGTGCAAGTCACATCCGATAGCTCCATTCAGCCTGGACCGCAGCCGGTTAGTTTGGGGCTGATTCTCTTTTTTTTTTTTTTTTTTGCCAGACCCAGGACGAGAAATCCTTTGACACAGACTGGCAGGAGCTGCCCTCAGCAGGTCTAATTTAGGGAGCATCCTCCCTGCCCTCCTCTTCCCGCAGGGAAAGACCCGGGATGAGGGATCCCTGGGAGAAGGTTCAGGGGAGCTGCCCACAGCAAGCGAAGCCTGGAAAGGACCACCTCTGCCCGCCCCCGCCCCCCTCCTTCCAGGGAAAGACCCAGGATTAAAAATCCCTTGAAAGGATCCCAGCACTTGCTCCATTAGTTTGAGAAAAGCCTCTTTTTTTTTTCGCCCCAGCCGCTTGGACCGAAGCCCTTGTTCATGTCCCGTTGTCCCTCCTCCCACCACAGATCTGCTTTAAAAGCTTTGAAAGGGACTGGAGGGGTGGCAGCATCAGCCCCGAGGGCGGCCAGCATTTCACTCCCATGGGCCATGGCAACCCCAAAAGCTTTGCAGCTCCTGGGAGGAATTTGCAGCTGTCGGGCTTCCTCCTCCTCCCGGGTAGAAGAGAATAATCAGGAAGGTGACCCCTTTGCTGACCTTTATTCAAAGCACGGTGCTGCCTGGACCAGGCATGCACAGGGGTAGGGGGAGGAAACTACAGTGGAAATGCACGAAATTCTGAAAAAAGTAAATTTATATGGGGGCCCACCTCCCCTCAGTTCACACTTAAAATCACAAAAAAAATTTCTGTTTCCTTATTCAATATTGCCCTGGTTTGCAAGCTGCGGGGTCACTGTATCCATATTCTTAATTTGAAAGGCACAGCTCACCCCCTCACCCCAATCTAAACACTTTTCAGCTCTAATAGGCAGGCAACCTATGTAATTATAGATGCTACAGAGCAAGGCAAGGACCACTGCTAATGGTGGGTGCAACTACAAACAGCTGTTTATTTCTCTCCTCTGCTCATTCTTTATTTTTAAATGCTGAGATTTTGTTTATCATGGATTTTTTGCATGAATTTTGATTTTTTTAAAATATTGCATTAAAGTATCATATTTCTTGACGACTGAGTTTTTGGCGCCCCCTAAAATTTTGTGACCAAAGCCTAGCCCCAGCCCTGCTAGTGGGGCATTGACTTGTTCAGTCCCACGGAGTGGCCAGTTAGGACTAAAGTTCCTACTTCAAAATGAATGTTCACATTCCATTTTTAGATCGAGCCACTGAGTTTTTTATAAATGCCCGTCTTCTGTGCAAGTATTAGAACAGCTCAATTGACAAGACTTTGGGAGATGGAGGAAAGTGGCAGAAGTAGAAAGACAGGTAAGAGCTCCCAAATTTTCATTTTTCAGAGTGGGAAAGTGGGTAAATACTTGTTGGGTTTTTTTTGTTTTGCTGTGGTTTGGTTTTCTGGAACAAAAGTAAAGGTTTAGTGATATTATTAATTTAACTGTTAGGGATAACTACAAATAGTGGTAGACCTGCATTGAGTGGGACAGGTAGTGGTACAGTAGTCATAACAGAAGATCAATAGATAATGTCTACAGGTGATAAATCAGTAACAATGTAAGTATATTTTTAGAGATATGGAAGTTACCACCAGAAGAACAAAAAGCGAAAAATTAGTGATCTCTGGGGAATTGGCGTGGGTGTGGGGCAAACAATGCTACTTTTCATTATAAACTTGATATACTTTTTTTTATTAGTTTCAGGTGTACAGAGCAATGTAATAGTTAGACATTTACACCCCTCACAAAACGAGAATCCTCCCAAATGTACTACCCCTCTGACATTATGTATAGCTGTTACGATATCATTGACTATTCTATACACCACATCCGCGACTATATGTATATAGAGGGTGCCAAAAAAATGTATACACATTTTAAGAAAGGAAAAAACTGTATTAAAATTGTAATACTCAATATACACTGATAACAAAACATGAATACAAGTCACATTTGACTTCTGCAATGACAAAAGGTGCTCAAAGTGGTTACCATCAATGTGATTTTCATACAGTTTTTTCCTTTCTTAAAATGTGTATACATTTTTTTGGCACCCCCTCTATGTAGTTAATTATAGTTATTATTCAACTTCAGCTTCAGGTGTATAGCACAGTGGTCAGCCATCTAACACAATCTATGAAGTGATCTCCCTGATAAGTCCAGTGCCCATCTAAACCCGATATACTTTACTTTTTAAATTATGTGCATGCATTACTTTGATATCTTTAAAAAAGGGTATAAGGTAGTTAAGATCCTCAAACAAAATGAGTAGAGAATGTTCGCTGTAAAGTGATAGGAGTTTGTGGTTGGTTTGTTACACTCCTCTTTAGCAGTCATTCTTTTCTCTGCCAGTTTTCTGCAGAACAGCACGTTTATTATTTTGTTTATTATCTGTCTTACCCCACCCCTACTAGAATGTAAATTCCAAGAGAGCAAGGATAGTTGACTCATTCATTGCTCTAGCTGCATCCCCAGAATAACGCTTGGTCCATAATAAATTAGTTTTAAAAAGGATGGAGTGTAAGACTTCAGGTTCTAAGTTAACTGGAGGTTTTTTTCTAGTATTTTGTCGTGGTTTGTTTGTTTTTTTTTAGAACAATAGATGGTCATTATATAAAATCAAAGCAAGCAAAATGAAGAAAACAAAACAGTTGTAATCCCACATATCCAGAGAAAATTACTGTAAATAATGGTTTTAAATTGATTCACTACTGCTTAGAAGTCTTTTAAATCTCTCACTAAGGCACGAATAGTTCTTCTTGCCATTCAAAACCAACACTCAGTATAAAATAGTAGCTGGAGAGTACTTTGTAAACTGCTGTAAAGATGTGATGATTTATAGAGCTTTTAAAATAGACAATGAAACAGCAGCTGTCATAACAAGAATACCCTTTAAATTAAAAGTAAATTTTTTTTCCTCTTTTTTTGTTGTTGTTTCTGAGCCATAGTAGATCGGTAACAATTAAAAATGTAACTGCTAAATGATAGTCCATGATTAAAATAATCTTTATAAAGAAGATAGAGGAATTGATTTTCATTGTGCTTTTTTTAAATTACATCCACTTTTATTATATGGTTTCAGAAACCGGAGTCAAATTAATTTCATTCACTCATCCAGCAAGTATTTTCTGAACCCCTACTGTGTCCCAGGCACTATTCCAGGTATTTGGGGGATACAGCAGTGAAGATCAAGTCCTTGTCTTCCAACCTTGATGTTTATTGCTCTCAGATTTACTAAATTAAGGAGAGATAATCATTGTTTCATGGTTTTAGGCCCAGAGTGGATATAATGCACCAAAACACACCCCTTGTTAATTTCATTCAGCTCTGTTAAAAATTGAGGGATAGTTTTTAAAGTCAGATACAAAAATATGTTTAAGTTAACAGTGATGTTTTAGAAAATGTTAACATTTCCTTTCAATGGTAGGGGTCTAGTGCTGGTTCATTTCATCAAAAAGTGACTAACCCAGAGCAAGACAGTCTTAAACTGCAAAGAAAAGAAACAAAAAAATAAATCCCACAACACATGGTGAAGCATTCACAGACTGCTTTGGAACAAAAAATCATTTTATCACTGAAACCAATGAAGACTGTCTGCTATATCTCCTTTATACAAACAATGCTGATGGTAGTGGAATTTTTATAGAATTTTTTTTAAAGCAAACTGATGAAAGAATGACAAGCCACTAAATTTAAATTCGTACGATCACTTCTCAAGGAGAACCATCTTATGACAACAAGAGCCGTATTGTACACATTCAATTAACAAAGAACAATATCAGCAGGGCACCAGACATCATGATATGAACTGTATTTAGGGCCTTCCAAATAGACTCGTGCTTTAAAGTGTGTGTAGTTTCATGATGTGAGGGTTGGATGAAATAACGTCTAAAGTTCGTACCACAAACATTTTAAAACTTATGTGACTTTTATCCAGTAAAGCAAAACATTTGTGAAATCAGTGGTTGATACGGCAGGTCTAATCTCATTCAACAAATTATTTGTTGAGCGCATGAAAAGTTGGTTCTGTTTTCAGCAAAAATCGAGCAGACTCAAACAAATACATTTACACACATGTTCATCACAGCACTGGGTCCCAATTACCAGAAGGTGGAAACAAGCCAAAAGTCCATCAACTGAAGGATGGATAAACAAATTAGGGGACATACAATGCAATATTACTCAGCCAAAACAAAAGTACTGACACTCAGTACAACCGGGATAAGCCTTGAAACAGATGCTGAGTAAAAGAAGCCAGACACAAAAGGTCATATATTGTAAGATTCCATTTATATGAAATGTTCAGAATAAGTAAATCCACAGAGATAGAAAATAGACTAGTGGTTGCCAGGGACCAGGAGAGGGGAAATGGGGTGCAACTGCTTAACGGGTAGGAGGTTTCCCTTTGGAGTGATAAAAATGTTTGGAGGTAGATAGAGGTGATGGTTGCACAACATTGAGAAGGCACTAAAGACCACTGAATTGTACACTTTGACGGTTAATTTTATGTTATGTGACTAGTGTCTCAATACAAATAAATACATCAATAAAGGAAAGTAATATTTAAAAAAAAGTCAAGTAGAGAATGGATGATAATCAGGTAAATGAGAGCTTTTTTTGTTT